GACGAAGGGTCCGGCATTAGATAAGGTGCGTACATAATGCGCCACCGTTTCTTTCTCTTACTTCTCATCCTGTCCAGTGCAAGAAAGAAGCAGTCACCGACGCCCTGAAACGATCGCTGCGCAACTTTGGAAATCTCTTGGGTAATTGTCTATACGACAAGCAGTATACCAACGAAATTGTCAAAGTGAAAGTATCTCCGGTGCGTCTGCCTATGTTCTTGATATGCTTTACACTAACTCATTCCCTCTCCAGCCCAAGTTTGACAAAGAAAATCTTCATCGAAGACCGGAGTTCTCCACCGACACGAATAAACCAGGACCTAGTGTGACAGCAACTAATGTTACAACAGCTATCACATCAACGAATACATCAGCGAAGAGCACTACCACTGCTCCTGCAGTCAAATCTGAACCACCGCCCTCTAAACCGATATCCTCTATCCCTCCTCACGTCCGTGAACAAGTTAGGTTGTCTCTACAAGAATCTCCCTCTTCAACTACCTTGGCGAACTCGCCATCAAAACCAAACCATCCTACTGTTAAACGTGAACTATCACCTCAGAACGTTTCCACCCCGATAGCTGGTCCTTCAAGCCGAGGATCTGCATCTAGACACGCAGCTATTTTACATGGACTGAACACTCCTGTTACAACTCCTGCTGTTCCTCAATCGGTTCCTCGCCCAATTCCACCTCAGCAAGCTCAGACTACAATTAATAGTCGCCAAGTTACTTTTGCTAATTCTCCATTAGCTAACAAAGTGGCTGGTGCTGCTAACATGACTTTCTCTGCCCATGTAAGACCAGATGAATATTTGGACGACGGCGGAGCTGGCGATGATTCTTTTGCACTTGGGTCAGAAGACGATGCATTCTTTGCCTCGGTTGATCTCGGTGATGCGGATATGGGAAGACCCAATGACTTGGCAGAAAGGTTAGTCGATGGAGGAAATGGGGTTTGGGGTCAAAGTCATCTATTGCCACATCAAACAAATATGCAACCTACTCATATGAGTCCAGCCGCTTCCTCTACCACACCGAATTCCGTCATTCCCAATCACTCAATTCAATTATCACCACCACTTCATTCGCACAATCCAGATATACAACAAAATCAGACAGAACAACAACTACCTCATCAAGCGCAACGAGCTTTCATCTCAAGAAGCTCAGATACCTCCAGTCGCCAGATTCGTTCAGACACTGCGTCTAGTACATCAGGGGACTCACTCAAAGAATCGACGAATGTTGTTGTGACTTCGGCTCCTGCCCCGCGTCGAATGGGAGGTTTCTCATTCCCGTCCGATATGGTAAGTCTAGAGCAAACATCATGATGTTATCCTGACTAGCGTCGTAGCTAAACCGGCAGCTGCAACAACCGCAACAAGGGATCGGGGTAAAACGTCCTTCAGATGCTATGAGGTTCTCCCTTTATATCTCGAGCTCTCGTGATGATAACTCATATTCTTTTCCTAATCAGAACATCCGCGAACACTGCTCAAGCTTCTCGAGATCGAAGGCTTGCCCCGGGAATGGGATTGATGACAGCTCAGGGAGGTGGAATGACGAGACAGCAGCTAAACTTGAGTCGTGCTCAGGGCTTGGGTTTGGATCGAGAAGACGGAGGAGATGCTAAGAGGATGAAGTACTGAGATTTGGAAATGGAGGGGGAGAAGGAGATGCTCCTTATGCCTTTGATCAGACCCGCGTTCAGTTTTGCATTGGTAGTTACTGAAATCATGCTTTCATTTGTACTTACCACAGCGCTTAGTACGCTTCGTGAACTAAGTCGCTGTAGACACCGACGCGACGGGTTCATGGTTTGATTAATCGGGTGATCTAGTTACCGTCCCGGTTTTCTCGAGTCCCCGAGGTCAAGACCGAAGTAATATTGTCACGATATAAACTTGTGCTAGTTCCCTTTTCGACCTCAACTTCCTCCTTCCAAAAGATGGCTGCCGAAATCTCAAAATTGATTGGATATGAGCTCCCTGACCGTCCTGTAAGTAGCGCGCTATCTACGTCTCGGTTCATCTCTCAACTCTCAACTGAACAATCGTAAAAGGTGTCATGGTTGAAGCGGGACCTTATCCTGTATGCGCTTGGAATTGGAGCAAAAGATGATAGCGATGATCTCTCTTTCATATATGGTATGGTCGTCCTAGCTGCCTCCCCTTCCATGCGCTAACTATATGGTACAGAACTTGGTGAGTATCGTCCCTAGTGTCCCGACCTCCCGACCTAATTGTTAGCACCGACAGACCCCAATTTTGCTGCATTCCCCACCTATCCTGTAGTGTTAACCTTCAAAGGTGACGGTCAAGAACTGAACCTATTTGCGGAGACGGTGAAGTCCAGCGCCCTTCCTGGATTGCCCCCTGTAGACCTAGGTAAATCTGTAGGCCTTCTCAAACCTTGTATTCCAGAAGTACGTCTTTATGTGATGATCTAGGTACACGGCTCCCAGTCCATTGAAATTCTGAAACCTCTGCCTCTCGCAAGCGGCCCCGGATGGAAGTGGAAGACCAAGTATACTGGTATATCAGAAAACAGTGAGTTATCCAGTTGCTGCCATCGCGACCTCGAACCTAGATATGTTCCATATTCTCAGAGAGTGGAGTTGTCATCACCAATGAGAATCTGCTAGTAGACCCTCAGGGCGTTCCCTATGCCAGAATCTACGTAAGTCAAGGTTACCTGAGTCCTGTTCCTAATTGCTGGTTTATTCAATGGCTATCCGTGCAAATGGATTTAGAGCTCGTCCTTCAATATTGGAATGAAGATTACTGGACAGAAGTTTGCGAAAGTGATCGCTGGACCTCCGCAAGCAAAACCCATCCCCAAAGACAGGAAAGCGGATTGGGTCGTGAGGCAGCAAACTAGCCCCGATCAAGCCCTTTTGTACCGACTTTCTGGGGATTATAATCCCCTTCATATTGGTATTCCTTCTCTCAATTACGGACCTCTTATATATGTTTAACTCTTACTCTAGATCCTCAAGTTGGGCGCGCTGCAGGATTTGGTGGTACCATCCTGCATGGTCTGGCAACCTATGGATTCGCGGCTCGGGCACTTTTGAATGCTATCGCATACAATGAGCCAGAATCCCTGAAATTTTTTGGTGTGAGGTTCACCTCACCTGTCAAGCCCAACGATGTCCTTGAGACACATGCTTGGGAAGTAGGACCTGGTCCGGATGGTACCATCGAAGTTGCATTCGTTACAAAGAATTTGACAAGTGGAAAGGTATGTTTCTGCTTTGAGCATGCATCTGGAAAGTTCTTGAATCTTGTCGACAGGATGCGCTCGGCGGCGGTATTGCATATATTACAAAAGCCCAGGCTATTCTGGCAGTAATGTAAAGAATCTATTCGCGTTGTATTTGTAATCGACTGAGTCACTGAAACTCGCCCTTGGGATTGAGCTTGACCCCGGTTGTTGTAAGAGGTTGTAAGTATGTTGTCGTAAATTCAGAGGCCCCAGTCGCGAATGCGGGGTTCGCGATCACATGCGTATTTCGTGATAGTGGGAATTCGATGTCCGGGATTAACCATAGCCGCAACTGCTTTAACTCCCTAATAGTGGCCACAATGTCTACAGATATTGCAAAAGTGGTGGGTTTTGAACTACCTGATAGACCCGTAAGCTACCATGCTTCTTGTTGCAATGGCTACTCAATTTAATTTGGTGAATGGGTGCCAGGTAACTTGGCTCAAACGAGATCTGATTCTTTACGCGCTTGGAGTCGGAGCAAAGAACACTGAAGATGACCTTCCGTTCGTTTATGGTGAGTCGTATGAGGCGCTGTGTTTTACACTGAGTGCTCAATGTACCCCCCTACCAGAATTGCGTATGTATTCAGCACTACACTCGATATATTCTCTTATTACTCGATGATAGACCCTAATTTTGCCGCACTTCCGACCTATCCTGTCGTCTTGACATTCAAGGGAGACAGTCAAGAGTTGAATCTGTTTGCTGACAGAATGAAAGGAAGCGATATTCCCGGAATGCCTCGAGTGGATCCCAATCGAATTGTACACGGGTCGCAATCCATCGAGATTCTGAGGTCTTTGCCTCCTGCTAGCGGTACTGGATGGAAATGGAAATCGAGATATACAGGCATATCGGAAAACAGTAAGTGTGTGGATCTTTCGGGGGGTGATAATTTACTCATTTATTGTCTTCAGAAACTGGGGTCGTTCTCACAGCGGAAAATACACTCATGGACTCGAACGCTGTCCCATATGCTAAACTCTACGTAAGTACTAACTATGCATTGTAGGACCAGAACTCAGACTTAAGGCGCTCTGATACAGAGTTCGTCGTTCAACATAGGTATGAAGATCACTGGCAATAAGTTCACAAAGGGAATTGCTGGACCGCCCCAGGCGAAACCTATTCCCAAGGACAAGAAGCCGGACTGGATAAACAAGGATGAAACATCAACTCACCAAGCCCTTATATTTCGTCTCTCGGGGGATTACAATCCTCTTCACATTGGTACATGATGTTCCATTTCAGTTGATCTTCGAGCAGCTATTGATATATAGCGTCATAAGATCCAGCAATTGGTCAAGCTGCCGGTTTTGGAGGCGTGATTCTTCATGGTCTATCGACCTTTGGATTCGCAGCTCGTGCTCTCCTGAAAACAGTCGGTGGGAACAACCCAGCCGCGCTCAAATTCTTTGGAGTTAGGTTCACGTCGCCTGTCAAGCCTGGGGATGCACTCGAAACCCAGATCTGGGAAGTAGGACCTGGTCCTAATGGGACAATAGAAGTCACTTTTATTACCAAGAATCTCAAAACAGGGAAGGTGTGTTTTCTTCTTTCACTGAATGAAGCAGGAGTAAACTCTTCTTTGTGCTTGCTATCAGAACGCACTTGGTGGAGGTATTGCTTATATTGTCAAGTCACCAACGGCGAAGTTGTAAACGCTAAATGTATCATTAACTTTGTAAATGACATACAGAATTGCCAAAATAGAGGGTAGAAAAATTTGGGGCGAATCCGGATTCGAACCGAAGACCCCCTGCAATGAGTAAATCAACCCAAAGCAGGTATCATACCTCTAGACCATACGCCCAATAGTCAAGAGGCATTTATTGAACATACATCAAGTAAAGTAATAAACCTTCCTCACACGAACGTTTACATGTACTGTTACTCGAAAGATTATCCGCCGTTCCTCTTCCACTGTTCGAAAAATTTATGAGTGACGATCTGAAGTTAATACTGAGCAACCTCACAAAATAATTTGGCTTAATTCAGTCGCCACTCCTTGAGACCAAGCTTTTCCCGTTCCTCCTTCATTGCCTTCGCCTTCAGTTTGCTAAAGTGCATGGCATGAACCGGTTTCATTTTCGAGGAGGATTGGTCCTTGTTGTATAGAGCAGTATCGGAATGGGACAGAGATGAGGTTTGAATCGCAAGCGCAGCGAAAGAAGTGGTAGATTCATGGTATCTATCGAGAATCTTCGTTGAATCCACATGAAAAGAGACGATCAACATACAATCTGAAGAAGAATTAGTAGATCAAGAACATTCTGAGCACAGAGGCTTTACTTGTAGGCTTCCTTGTTCAAACAGTCAGCTTCCTCTATTTTATCCAGAACACTTCTTTTGAAAGCAGCTTTGATGAAGTGCAGAACGTCGAAGACATGGTGTTGATTCGGTCTACCAAAGTCGTAATAAGTATAACTCATGAGTAGGAAATGAGGATGCTTTGACCTCCATGCTTTGATCTGGGCCGTTAAAGAGAATGTTCCATTAGAGGATATAAGTGGATGGAATACGTCGTTGATGAATTGCACTGCAGGAGGGCGCTCAGGATAGTTGTGAGGAAAGGTGAGTTTAAATTTGAGGATCGAGTCGGCGTAGTATCCTGCGAGACGATGAACTAATACTCTTGCTCGTCGATTTTAGAGACTCGCTGACCTTGATGAATGAAGAGAACAGCATCCCATACCAATATTGTCTCTGCTGCAGGTACCACATACAACCCCAGGGGACAATGTGACCTGTTCCTCAAAGACGCATATTCCAAAGATATGGTCGCACGAGCTGCTGGAGTGGCAGTTTCTGAAGGTTGTGACACAGATTTAGATGAGCGGTGAGCTGGGCGGGACTGAGTTTTGGCCTTTGTTAAAACGTCAAGTGGAGGACCAAGTGGATTGAACATAAAAGCGTAGGTTAAGCGCTCTCGGCGCCAATCCGCTGCATACTAACAATTCTTGCCGGCCATGATTTATACACCTCAATCTGTCGAAAAAAAATAATCTCACTGTCCCAACTCCCCCGCCGATAGCTGAGGTCATGAACAAGTGATCGAATTGCTACTGCCTCAGGCTCCCTGCATCAAAACGAAATTCACGTATTTCTCAAGTATTTCTCAGCTATTAAAAAACCAAAAGTAAGCAGGGGCGCCATGCAACGTATATACAAGAATTAACGCCTTCGCTAAGTGTAGGTATTTTGCCCGTCTTCTTGTCGAAAGGAATCTTCCTATTGCGATGTATAGGTATTCTCCACCACATCGATTGGAAATAGATATCACGAGCGAACGCGGAACGTCTCACGTGCATGATGTGCACGCACACGGTGACTCATATCTTCCTTCCTTCTGTTTACCTCTCTTACTTCCAGTCGTTTTCACTTCTTCAAGGTCCTTCTGAGATGCCTTTGGTTCGCATAGAAGTTTGTGACTTCAAATCCTATCGGTTGGTCACAATTAGTGCTATTCATCCTACTATATATTGACTGAACTCTTTCAGAGGGCATCAAACCATTGGTCCATTCAAGAACTTCACTTCCGTGATTGGACCCAATGGCGCCGGGAAGTCTAATCTTATGGATGCGATTTCATTTGTTCTAGGAGTGAAGAGTGCTCAGCTTCGGAGTTCTCAGTTGAAGGACCTTGTTTATCGTGGAAGGCGATTGGCGAAAGAGAACCCAGATGGGTCTATGGCTGTGGGTGATGAAGATGAAGAAGGCGAAGGCGATGGGACGGCTAGGAAGGCATGGGTTTCAGCAGTTTACTTGGATGCTGAAGACAAGGAGTGGACGTTTCAGAGAACGTGAGCAGACTGCTTAATTGCGTGATTCTTACTCTAACGACGTGCATTTCGAAGTGTCTCTACTACAGGAGCATCTGAATACAAGCTGAACGATCGCGTTGTGACATATTCTGCCTATAATGCTGCGTTTGTTTCTCACAATATTCTCGTGAAAGCGAAGAATTTCCTCGTGTTTCAGGGCGACGTGGAAGCAGTGGCATCACAATCTCCCCGAGAATTGTCAAAATTGGTTGAGCAGATAAGCGGGAGTCTGGAGCTCGCGGCAGAGTATGAAAAGGCGAAGGAGGAGCAGGACAAAGCTACAGAAAATGCGACCTTCAACTTTTCTAAACGACGTGGGATCGCCGGGGAAATTAAGCAATACAAGGAGCAGAAGGGAGAGGCCGAAAGATTTGAAGCAATGGAGCAAGAACGAGTTAGTTCACTTTCTGTCACTGTAATGTTATTGATTTTTCCCAGGACGCGTTGATCTTGCACAGAATATTGTTCAAACTTTATCACATAGAAGAGTCCATCGAACGCAATGCACACGAAATACGAACAAAGAACAAGGATCTGGACCGCCTGCGTGAAGAACAGCGTGTCAATGATGAGGCGTTGGATGCAGCTAGGGCGGAGCAGGCTAAGGCCCGTACTAGTGTAATGCAGCTGGAAAAGAAAATTAAGAAAGGCGAAAAAGCTCTAGACTCCAAGGTATATATGTTTCGTATAGCTGAGTCACTCACTCATCCACTTCAACTTTACAGAGACCCGATCTCGTTTCCGTCGAAGCACAGATCACACATTCCACTCGAAAGACGAACAATGCTAACAAGACGAAACAAGATGTGTCCAAGACGCAAAGAGATTTGCAAGAACGGGTGAATAACCTAGAAGCTGAATTAACGAAAGTGAAAACAGATGCAGATAAAGCACAAGGTCCGTTCTATCAAATGGGGACATCATGGCACTCATCATCAACTCTCTCTAAGAGGCTCAACGTAGAATGTCTCAGAATAATTTTGCGCTCAGTGAAGAGAGTCTGGAAGAGTACCGGAGCCTGTGAGTTTTTCGCAGCTTGCCATTCAAGCAACATGGACTTAACGTCATCCTAGCAAAACATCAGCCAATCTCCTTGCAATCGAAGAACGTCAAGAGTTGGAGAAGCTAATGCGAGAAGAAAAGGCAGCTGTTAGAGCGTTGAACGCGCTGAAGGAGATGCAACAAAGTTTCGAAGAAAAACGCGACTCTCGTAATGAAGAAATCACCAGTCAAGCCACGAAGAAGACTGAGCTCGAGGAGAAGATTGTTGGGCTTCGAAATGAGCTAAACTCCAAGAAGCAAGAGCTGGAAAATCAACAATCAGAGCGTACGAAGATATCGCGAGTTCCCCTTCTGAGTTGCTTGTTGATCAGGATGCTGATAAACGGCATTACAACAGGCAATTGGAAGCACAAGTGAACGAAAAACTTCAGAGTGTATACCAGCAGCTATTGCAAGCAGGTGTTGATAGGAACGAGTCGGAGCGAGAGCGGAAGCTCAAGGACACCCTGACAAGTCTTCAGAGAATTTTTCCAGGTAAGATTCTGTATTGTACTAAATTTGGCTTTACTACATCCTGCTCTACTTTTTAGGTGTTCGAGGCAGAGTTATTGACTTATGCAAACCTTCCCAGCGAAAATACGAAACGGCGGTGTCCGTTGTGCTGGGAAGAAATATTGATGCTGTAGTTGTGGATGAAGAAAAGACGGCTATCGACTGTATCGAGGTGCAGGCTGTTTTGTTTGAGGTGTTCATACTGTCTGATACTCTCTCTCAACAGTATATGCGAAATCAACGTGCTGGACAAGCAACGTTCATTCCCCTCGACACCATCCAGGTGAAGCCAGTCAATGACAAGTTTCGATCATTCGCCAAGGGTGCACGATTGGCAGTCGATGTCATTCAATACGAGCCAGCTGTCGAACGTGCTATGCATCACGCATGTGGGAATGCGCTTGTCTGTGATACTATGGAGATTGCGAAATATGTGTGCTACGAGAAAGGACAGGAGGTCAAAGGTTTGCGAATACCTCAACAGTAAAATTTACAGAAAACAACTAAGTGGTACATGCTTCTAGCGGTGACATTAGAAGGTACGATCATCCATAAAAGCGGTCTTATCACCGGTGGCCGGAGTACCCACGGCAGCGAGAAGAAATGGGATGAAAAGGACGTACAAGGACTCCAAAAGTCGAGAGATTCACTGCTAGCTAAACTCAGAGATCTGAACAAACAGAAACCGAGAGGAAAGACAGATGAGAACCTAATTGCCGAAATTTCTCAGTTGGAATCGAATCTTACCATTGTGAGGGATGAGCTGGTTCGTTATGTTATCTCTCTCACCCACACTTGTTTCTTCTGAATTGATCGCCGCTTTTCCAGAATGCTTGTAAAACTAGATTTGCGGGACTGAAGGAGGAATTAAGACATCTTGACAGAGAGATACAGAAGAACACTCCTGAGCTCAAGAAGGTACGATTTTCACTCCTCTGTTTTCTACACCAAGTCCAAATCATTGCACCCAGTCAAAGAAAGATCACGACAAGCTCCAGGAACAGATTGCCACCCTTTCTGAATCAGTCAATTCTGCAGAAGATGGGGTATTCGCTGATTTCTGTAGGAAAATACGGATCGATAATATCCGCGAATTTGAGGAGAGACAGCTTAAGTTAGCGCAAGAAGAAAGCGAGGCGCGATTGAGATACGACAACCAAATCGCTCGATTGACCCATCAGTGCGTATCGTGTGCATAAGTTTTCTTCTGAGCTTAATCGCGGCTCACGACATACTTGACTGGCCATAGGTTTGAATACGAGAGCGAAGCACTTCAAAGTAGTCGGGAGCGCCTGTCACACTTAGAAGAACTAATGAAGGCAGAAGAAGTCACCCTTGCTAACCTACAAGAACGCAAACAGACCGTTGAACAAGAGTTAGCCAACTTGGAAGAAGGAATTTCCGCACATAAAGAAGGTCTTACTGAACTGCAAGA